CTGCTGCTATCCCCGATTTTTAAAATACTGTATGGCTAAAGGGTTTGAAATGTATATCAAGTTAATCCTTGAAGGATACGACCCCAAAACATTGGTCGTGGTGGTGGAAAGTGACAGATAAACTTGGACAAATTAAAGGTGATATAATATCCATTTCCCAGGATTGGTAGGAGGGTTACTTGGGGGTAAATAAGTAAAATCCTTAAATATTTTCCTGTTAATACAAGTATTCACTGCATGTGACCATTATCTTGTACCTATGTAAACTTCAGGGGAGGATTTGATAGGTCGTTTTTGTTTTAGTACTAAGTGAGGGTTGCATCCTTTCCCTACTGGTTTCTTGAAGTAGCCCACATATCCGCCGTCCTGCCTGTTGTCTCCAACTTTTCCCAAGATGTCTTATTTGTGTTAAATCCCCTTTCTTGTTGACTCAAGGACACCATCCCAGCAGTTTCCTCTCTACCAGTCATACTCACTTTTCTTTTTCTTGAGAAGGAGTCTCACTCTGTCGCCCAGACTGGAGTGCAGTGGCCGCTCCCGGCCCCCTCAGCCTCGACCTGCTGGGCTCCAGCGATCCTTCTGCCGCAGCCTTCCAAGTAGCCGGAACTACAGGCGCGCGCTACCACGCCCGGCTCATTTTTGATTTATTGTAGAGATGAGGTCTCGCCAAGTTGCCCGCGGGCTCAGGTAATCCACTCACCTCAGCCTCCCAAAGCGCTGGGATTACAGGCTGAGCCACCAAGCCCAGCTCATACTCACTTTTCATTGGATCATCTCCAACAGCCTGTGAATTAGTTTCCTAGGGCTGCCTCATGGTGAACTTGGTGGCTTAACATGGAAATTTATTCTCTCACATTCTGGAGTCTAGAAGTCCAAAATCAAGGTGTTGATGGTGTTGGTTCCTACTGGAGGCTCTTTGGGAGAAGATGTGGCATGCTTCTCCCCTAGCTCGTGGTGGTTGTTGGCAGTTCTCGATGTCCTTTGGCTGGTAGTCTCAACACTCATCTCTCCCTCTGTCTTCACATGTCTCCTATGTATGTCTGGGTCTCTGTTTTTTCTTCATAAAAGGGCCTAGTCATTGGATTGGGGCCTACTGGAATCCGGTATGTACTCAACTTGATTACATCTGCAAAGACCCCATTTTCAAATAAGGTCACACTCACAGGTTCTGGAGTTAGGACTGGGATACATTTTTGGGGGGAAGACAGAGTTCAACCCATAACAGCATACAAACTTGTTATTTTTCTCATCAGGACAAACACTTTTCTCTTGTCTGTATTTTCTCCCTTTTGTTATGCACTATTTCTTTACTCCCTTTTGTAGCAAAATTTCTCTAGAGTGCTTATACTCAGTTCACTGTTTCTACTTCCTTTCTGAGAAGTCTGTTTTGAACTTAAGTCAGGCATTTACCTCAATCACTGAATTGAAATTGTTGCTGTTCTTCAGGTCACAAATGATCTCCCTCCTTGTTGTTAAGTCCAGTGGTCACTTCTTAGTCTTCCTTTTACTTGACCTAGCATTTGACACAGTCTATCACTCAGTCCTCTGTGATAATTTCTTCACTTTACTTTAAATATATTCCCTTTTGGTTTTATATTTTGGCTCATGGCCACTCTTCTTAAGTCCTCCCTTCTCAGATTTGATGATTTTGATGGAATTTCTTTGGCAAAACAATCTCTGCAAAATTCTTTTAATGCTTTCAGTTTTGTAAATTTAATCTTGATTTCTGCATCATTTTGCTTATAACATTAATTTTACACAAAATATCATGCTACAATTAGTATAAGAAAATTTTAAAAGGGAATATTTTGCAATGGCCTTTGCAAAATATTATATTATATAGATAATATAATACTATATTATCTATTATCTATATAATATAATATTATATTCTATTATATATATATACTTTTTTTCTATTATCAACAATTTCCAAAAGACCATTGTGTTCTTCCTTCATATGGCATCAAATTATCTTTCCTAACTCATATTTGACTATGATTTAAAAAAATTTTTTTTTTTTTTGAGTTGGAGTCTCACTCTGTCACCCAGACTGCAGTACAGTGGCTGCTCCCAGCCACCGCAGCCTCAACCTGCTGAGCTCCGGTGATCCTTCCACCTCAGCCTTCCAAGTAGCTGAAACTACAGGTGTGTGCTACCATGCCCGGCTAATTTTTTGATTTATTGTAGAGATGAGTTCTCGCCAAGTTGCCCAGGTGGATCTCGAACCTGCGGGCTCAGTCAGTCCACTCACCTCAGCCTCCCAAAGCACGGGGTTACAGGCTGAGCCACCGAGCCCGGCTGATTTAAAAATTATGTTTGGCAATTGTGATTTCAGTTAACTATAGTGTTACATTGAAATAATAAAGCAGTTATGTCATTCTTGGATGAAATAAAAATTTTTAGTGCTGTCAAAGATATTTGTGCTGTATTGTTCACAACCAAGTTTAACATATATATTAGCAAGTTGTATAAAATGTCTTAGAATTTTATATTTGAGGATTTTTTGTTTGTTTTCCTCATACATATTTGAGGCATGTATTCCTGTTCAGGCAGTATTATTCTGTGATTAGTTGTGTTATTCCATCTATCTTTCTAATATTTCTACTTGGATCTTTAAATATACTTCTTATACCTGTTTCATATTGCTAATATTCTCTCTCTCTCTCTCCCCCCCTCTCTGTTTTTAGTCTTTCTGTTCTAATAATTCTCCAAGTTAGACATACATATTTTTTAGTTCATTGTTTTTCTTTTTTACTGGTTGTATTTATTCAGTTGTCAAGTTGTCTTGGCTTGTGAGCTCATATGTTGTTTGGAGTGTCACCTACTCTGCTGGTAATCTGTTATAAGGAAGTGGTCAAAAGCCAGTCTCGTGTCTCCCAGGAAGGAAAATACGTAGGTGTATTTGTTTCCTAAGTGCAAGGTGTTTCTTCTGATTTGAATGTTTGTCTCTCTAAACTTCATATGTTGAAATTCTAACCTCTGAGGTATTGGACTTAGAAAGAAGGGCTTTTAGGAGGTCATTAGCTCATGAGGGCAGCACCTTCATGAATGGGACTATAAAAGGAGGTGCCCCAAAGCTCCTTTGCTCCTTCTACCATGTGAGGACACAGAGAAAAGTCACCATCTATTTGGTGTCTGGGTTTTCACCAGACACTGAGCCTATTGGTACCTTGAGTTAGACTTCCCAGTGTGAAGAACTGTGAGAAATATTTGTTGTTCTTATGGTATTTTGTTATATAAACCTGAACAAACTAAGACCTGAAGGCTCCAGGGAGGAATCTTTCCTTATTTCTTTTCTTTTCTTTTCTTTTTTTTTTTTTGAGTTGGAGTCTCACTCTGTCATCCAGACTGGTGTGCAGTGGCTGCTCCCGGCCACCGCAGCCTTGACCTGCTGGGCTCCAGCAATCCTTCCGCCTCAGCCTTCCAAGTAGCTGGAACTATAGGCGTGCGTTACCACGCCCGGCTAATTTTTTGATTATTGTAGAGATGAGGTCTCGCCAAGTTTCCCAGGCAGGTCTCGAACCCGCGGGCTCAGGCCATTCACTCACCTCAGCCTCCCAAAGCGCAGCTCATACTCACTTTTCATTGTGAGTAGGATTACAGGCTGAGCCACCGAGCCCGGCTGCTTCCTTATTTCTTTAAAGCTTCTGGTGGATACTAGCAATCCTCAACATTCCTTAGCTTGTAGCTGCATCATTGCAATCTCTGCCTCTGTCACTACATGGCCTTTTTATAGTGGCACCCAGTCATTGGATTTAGGGCCCATCTTCATCCACTATGACTATATCTTAACATACCTGCGAAGACCCTATTTTAAAATTAGGTCACATTCATAGGTGCTGGGGGGTTAGGACTTGAACTTGTATTTTTGAGGGACACAGTTCAACACATAACAACAGGACTAGACTTAGTGTGGAAAGCTTCAGATAACAGAGAACCAGTGTTACTCCATCTTAATTTTGTATCTCAACTCAACAATTCTCATGTATACAAAAAAATCTCAGGTATACACTTTTAAACTCTTTGGGAAGAGGCATTGTTATGAATCTTCATTAATTGACTTTGGAGGGAGAAAGAAGTATAGGAATGAAAGCCTATGTCCTGTGCAGTTTATACTTCCTTATCCTAGCATAGCTTTGATGCTACCTTGATATTACTCTGCTGATACCCTGGGTCAAGGCTGTTGCTCCTGTTGGAGTAATGATGTGTATTAAGAGCATATATCAGCTCAAATATAGCAGAAATGTAAGTACAAAGTTTGAAAGTTTTGTTAAATGTATTCTCTCACTGTTGTTTCTACCTTCTTTCCCAACATTATCATCCCAAACACCCCATATACAAATCAGCTTTTGGTTAGAGGTTTTTCACAGTTAAAAGAACATTTTTGGGATGGGTTCAGTGGCTCAAGCCTGTAACTGCAGCACTTTGGGAGGCTGAGGTGAGGGGATTGCCTGAGTCCATGGGTTTGGAAACAGCCTGAGCAACTTGGTGAGACCTCATCTCTACAATAACTCAAAAAATTAGCCGGTTGTGGTAGCACACACCAGTAGTTCCGGCTGCTTGGAGGCTGAGGCAGAAGGATCGCCTGAGCTCAGCAGGTTGACACTAGGGTGGCCATGAGCATGGCACTGCATTCCCACCTGGGTTGACAGAGTGAGGCTCCAATTAAAAAAAAATTTTTTTTGTTGTTGTTTATTGTCAGGATTGTTTCCCTTTTCATGCTGTAATTTCTCCAAAGCTGATTTTGGAGTTTACCGTCTTCATAGCAGTTGATAATCCTTCTATCATTTTAAATCTAAAACTCTTCATGTATTTTTCCCCTTATAGGAAATACTATAAATTGTATATGTAAAAAAGCTCAAGTGGAGTTGTAACTTCCAGAAATTGCTCGATGTACTCTGAACAAATTGCTAAAGCATCAGAACAAGAAAAAAACAAAATTAGGGTATGATGTTTTCTCTAAATCTTTTAATGTTTTATTCACAGGGAGGAATACATTGTTTTCATCTATAGTTTGGAAACTAAGTCAATAACAAAATGAAGCCAGCAAAGCATCTGTTGACCACTAGTAAGAAGTTGCCAAGTATTCCAGAATTAACTAATAAAAAAGGACCACTTAATTTACCATTGACACCTAAACCAAAGGAAAAACATAGTGCAAAATTAATACGTGATAGAAAGGAAACAATGGTTCTAAGATCTCCACCAACAGGAGAATCCATAGTACGGTATGCTTTGCCCATCCCTTCAAGTAAGACAAAAGAGTTAATGGCAGAAGATGAAATGATCAGAAAAATTACCAAACATTTGAAGATGGTAAGATGCTTCTTGTTTCCTGTGTTAGAAGGGTCCCCATAAGGACCCCCAGGTCTGATGATTTGCTAGGAATTCAAAGGGCTCAACATATACTGGTGGCAAAGATTTTTTACAGTAGGCACATGAGGTGAAATTGGGAGGAAACCAGATCTAAGATTGCAGGAGTCTTATCCCTTTAGATTCACATAGGACATGCTTAATTCCTTTAGCAATGAATTGTGACTGTTACTTGCCGGGTTCCGGTTTTTTCTACCTGTGTGCTGTAAATCAATCATTGTTACACAGTTTTGCAAAAGAGAAAAGATTTATTTGCAAGGGTACCAAACGAGGTAAGAGAACAGCTCTCAAATCCCCCTTGCCAAATATAAGATTTAGGAATATTTATGGGTTAGGGTAGTGTTTTGTTTAAGGCATAGGGAAAGGTGATTGGCAGTGGGGAAAGGTGAAGTAACAGGTTCAATCTATGCAAGCATGGTCAGAGTTTATGGCATTTCAGAGGATACGTATGGAAAATGACACGGTTAGCATGATCTGAGGGTGGAGTTTTTTACCCTCTGACATCAAAAGGCCACCCACCACTTGGGCACCTTGCATAGGTCCAGTTGAAGGGTCAGTGGTCTCATCTGCTTTGAACTAGACAGGAGCTGGCTTAACTTCCTCAAAAACAGCTGAGTAACCATTACCATGATGAGCTATGTACGTTATCTATAAAATAACCAGTGATGGTTAAGTTTCAGCATTCAGTGTTAAGGCCTTCAGCTACTGAGGCTTTTCATGGAAAAAATTAAAAAAAGTAAAAGAAGCAAGCAACCTGTAGCAAGCAGGGCAGGCAGACCTGATCAAATTAACCCCTCAGTTTCATGTCAACGCATGTGAAATGTCTACCAGAGAAATCAGTACAAAATCAGTGCCTAGGGTTTTTTTTTTGGGCAGGGGAGTGGTTACCTAGTAACCCTCTGCCTTGCATCAAAATTCTAGAATCCCACAAGGAAAGCAGGTGTTTAGTATAAATTACATTGTTTGTACAAACAATTTGGGTACAGTGAGCTGCCCTTTTCAGTGAATGGTGAGAATCCTTCTGAAATCCAAGTTCTCAGATGTAAGGTTTAAGGCCAACCTTGCAAGCAGGCCTTTCTAAAGATAGGCCTTTCTAAGTCTTATGCCTGCTATGTTAACTCTTCTCTGCACTTCAGAAACTTTAGCTCTTAGTATAGGGGAAAAAAATCCCTTTCTATGAGTTTCATTTTGCACAATAATCCAGAATTGAATTGTAAACATACCAAATATTAAGTGAGACCAATGAGGCAGAACACAAATGTAAAAAGAATATAGTTTGTCAAACTTCTAAAATACAAGTTTTAAAAGTTTGAGGAATTAGGTTAGAGAATTTCCTTTAAAAATTTATTCATTTCTGGTCAAAGAAAATTTATTCTTTCTGTTTTCTCTATTCGCTGCAGAGAAGAAAGTCAAGGTAATGAGACTTTGAGGAAAATTCTTCTTAATACTTTAGCCATTCATGGATAGAGCCTCTTTTAAATACATATCAACACAGAAATGGTAGAGTCATAGAGCATTTCTCCATTAGCAGGGAGTAGGGTCAGGTAGGAAGAAGTATTGCTGCTACTTCATGATGTGAGATGGGGCATGGGATAGAAAAATTAAGTTTATGGCCACTGGCAAAAATAAGTCTTACGACTAAAAAGGTCTGGCATGATTGATTAAGTATCTTTTTATAATTATTTTTTTTCTTTTAATTTTTTTAGAGATGAGGTCTCGCTGCCCAGGTGGGTCTCGAACCCGCGGGCTCAGGCAATCCACTCACCTCAGCCTCCCAAAGGCATGGGATTACAGGCTGAGCCACCGAGCCCAGCTGATTAAGTATCTTTTATAGTCAACGTAATTAACTTTAAGCTATTAAGGTATTTAATTTGCTTTTTTTAAATAGGTTGTTTCAACTTTGGAACAAACATATGGATTTACCGTTCAAGATGGAGAAAAACTTTTTGTGAAGCCTGAAAATGAAGAATTATCTTTATCTGTAAGTATATACAACCTTAATGTAGATACATTAACACTGAAAAGGGTCAAGATTTTCTTTTTACAAATTTAAATTTAAAAGATTTTATTTTAGAATCCATATATGTTCTCAGAATGAATTTTCCATTCTACTTGAAAGTACTATACTGACTCTTTCATCTTCTGCCAGCACCTATCTTAAAGTGTAATTAAGGCATACCTGTATCTTGAACCTCTCAATGTTTAATAATGTTTCTCCTATTTGATTTTTAGGCATGGGTTTGGCTGTTGGTTTGAGATTTGTATTCTGAATCATGTTAAAGTATTCTATTTCAAGCTTGCTAAATTAAAAAAAAAGCACAAAAGAATAAATGAGGTTATTGAGTTTTAAACATGTCTTTGTTGTGTATATTGAAGGAAAGTATTAAGGTGACTATGGTTCTTCTTCAACCTATTGAAAAGTAATTTTGTGTATTTTAAAAATATTCAACTAACTTTAATACATTTTGCACATATAGTATTTTAAAAAATTTAATTAATTTTTATTAGAGATTGAATTTGGCTCTGTAAAATGAAACACCTGTGTTGAGTCTTTCAATCCATTAACATAGTATGTCTCTCCATTTATTTAGGCCTTGTTTGATTTCTTTCATTAGCATTTTAAAATTTTTATCACGTAGATCCTGCATGTGATTTGTTAGATTTATACACTGATATTTCACATTTTTTAGAGGAACTGTTAAAGCAATTATTTTTAGTTTAAGAGTTATATAGAAATTAGAAATATGATTGATTTTTGGTTTTTTTTTTTTTGAGTTGGAGTCTCACTCTGTTGCCTTTGGAGTATAGTGGCACACTCACAGCCACCCCAACGTTGACCTGCTGGGCTCTAGCAATCCATCTGCGTCAGCCTTCCAAGTAGCTGGAACTACAGACGTGTGCTATCATGCCTGGCTAATTTTTGATTTATTGTAGAGATGAGGTCTCGCCAAGTTGCCCAGGCTGGTCTCGAATCCATAGGCTCAGGCAATCCACTCGCCTTGGCCATGATTGATTTTTGTGTATTGGTCTTATATCTTGTAACCTTGCTCAATGTGTTTTTCTATTCTAGGAATTTTTCTATAGATTCCTTGGGGCTTTCTACAAAGACAATTGTGTTATCAAATAGAGACAGTTGTACTTCTTCCTGTCTAATCTGAATGCTTTTTATTTTCTTCTCGATTTATTGTGCTGGCAATGATTTTTCACTCTTATGTTGAGTAACAGTAGTGAGAGATTTCCCTGAAGGGCTGATTTCTTCTGTTGTGTCAGTATTGGAACTGGCAGGAGTTTGGACTTCAATTTTAAATAGTTTTGATACTGGCAGAAATAAGTCTTACCGCTAAAAAGGTCTGACATGATTGATTTAAATATCTTTTATATTCAATAGAATTAATTTTAATTAATTCAAAATATAATTGTCACAAGGACATGTAAGATGAGATTTCTGTGCGTTCTGTTTTCTCTTCTTCAATAATTGTATAATCACCATAGCAATCAAAATATGAAACATTTCCATTATCCCAAAAATCACTCTACTCCTTTGCATTCAGTTCTTTCCTCCTACCTTGGCTCCAGACCAGTGATTTTCTGGTCCTTTGTTTTAGTTTTTTCTTTTCTAGAATTTCATATAAATTAAGTCATACAGTAAATAACCTTATTTATTTAGCTTCCCCCTTCATCATAATGTTTTTGAGATTAATCTACATTGTTCTGTATATCAGTAGTTTGTTTCTTTTATTGTGAAGAGTATTCCATTGCATGCTATACTGCAATTTGTTTATCCATTCACTAGTTAATAAGCATTTGGGTTGTTGTATTCATTAGCTATTTTGGCTGCTATGAATGAAATTCCTGGCAACATTTGTATACAAGTCTTTGTGAGGACAGATGTGTTCTTTAATCTTGGATAATTACTTGTATGAGAGGTCCACTTGTCCCACATCTTTACCGAAACTTGGTATTGTCAGTCTTTTAAATTTTGGTCATTTGCAATGGACATGTAGACCTCCTTTTCTGCAACCTTCTTGACAAAGTTCAGGTCAGGAAGGGTTTGGTGGGAGAAAGATAATTGAGTTGAATGATTTACTTTTGTCTTAGGAGTTCCTTTTCATTCCAGTTCATCTGCCAGGCAAAAATGGCTATCAAAGGCTTAGATGGGTTTTCTTCAACCCTCTAAATTCTGTTTGTCAGTGACAGGTTTGCTTTTAGACTGCACACACTATGCCAAGTGCCCTCTTGCCTCAACCATGCCTCCTTTAGGTGTGAATATGGCCTTGGTTCTTTGTTTATCTATCTATAAAGTGCTTGTTTTTCTGTGGAATTCAGTTCTTCAAGTCTGCCTTGTGTCTTTTCCTTCTCAGTGTCCTCAAAGAAAAGCATGAAAATTATTTTATTTTGTATTTTTTCTTTTGGTGATATTAACACTGGAGCAAAGGCCTCTCATGTCTTTTTGCATCCTAATCTTAAGTGGCATCTTTTGTCTTTCAAAGGGTCTTTCTAGAAGTTTCTTTCTGAATAAATTCAACAGTTTATTTTTGTCTCAGTTTAATTGAGACACATGACTATCTTTATTGGTAAACGAGGCTGGAAAATTTATTATTGTTATTGGCTGTATATACTATCATCTCCAATAAAATTGAGGTCCTGTTAGTAAAGAAGAAAGGAAGAATCAATATAAAGTGGGCAGCTAGTATTATGTTTTACCTATCTCACAGTGCTATTGTTGAAATAATTCTTGATGATTTCAATATCTATGTAGATAATCTAGTACTTTAGTTCACTGAATTTCTTTCCTCCAATGATCTTGTCTTTTATTTCACCTTAACCACAAATTGAGAAGATGATATTCTCTAGTCCTTGTCATTACCAGTACCTGTTTCATGGTTTGAATTTCAATTATCCTAATCTCTGGCCATCTTTATCTTTCCTTCTGTCTTTCTCACTTAGTCTGTCTAATGGTCTGTTTCTAAAAATCCTGTGATTTCACTGAGAACTATACTCCATTGGGCCTGCTGCCTTTTCAGTGTCCCAAACCTCCTTATGTCCTTATCCAGATTAAATAGCATGGTCCACTATTACCATTATCATTGCCTTGCATATGTACTTAACTCTTCTGTCTGTCCTGCTTATTGATCTTATTTGGTCAAATTGAAAACTTGACCAAATCAATCTCTGGCTTCTCTATATCTGACTTCTCTCTGATACACAAATGTGGGTTGGAGAGTATACCCAAGTATGTGGATGGTCTCACTTTATATTTGTGATTAGTAACTCTAGTTCATTCATATTTTACTTTATTGGGCGATTATTTCAGTTTCTTTCCTTCTTCTGTATAGTTATAGGTTTTTACCATGACAATAAGTATGTGAGCTTATGAGTATGTTTAATGCTCAGGAAACACATTCTTCATAGAGAACCACTTTATGAGAATCTTGACTGTAGATAAACATTTAATATATATATATATATTTTTGAGGAGTCTCACTCTGTCGCCCAGGCTAGAGTGCAGTAGCACGCTCACAACTACCCTAGCGTTGACCTGCTGGGCTCAGGCGATCCTTCCACCTCAGTCTTCTAAGTAGCTAGAACTACAAGTGCGTGCTACCATGCCTGGCTAATTTTTTGATTTATTGTAGAGATGAGACCTTGTCAAATTGCCCAGGATGTTCTCCAACCTATGGGCTCAGGCAGTCCTCTCACCTCAGTCCCTGAAAGTGCTGGCATTACAGGCTTGAGCCCCACCGCACCCTGCCAAGCATCTAGTATTTATTTATCATGAGTCAGTTCTCTGACTTGCAAATTACTGCTCCTCTATAAGAGATTTGGTCATTGTGACATTTTAATCTGTAACTGGTTTTTCCCCCAACATTTTGTATTGTTTATTAGGTGAGAGTGAAAGACTATAGCTCTTGGCAAGTAGCAGAAGTTGTAGTTATCACTCGTTTTCTAACACAAAGAGATTTTTTTTTTTTTTGAGTTGGAGTCTCACTTTGTTGCCCAGGCTGGAGTGCAGTGGCACACTCCCAGTCACCACAGATGACCTGCTGGGCTCAGGTGATCCTTCCTCCTCAGCCTTCCAAATAGCTGGAATTACAGGCATGTGCCACCGCTCCCGGCTTATTTTTTGATTTATTGTAATGACGAGGTCTCACCAAGTTGTCTTGAACCTCTGAGCTCAGGCAATCCTCTTAGCTTGGCCTTCCAAAGTACTGTAATTATAGGCTTGAGCCACCACGCCTGGCCTACAAAGAGTTGTTTTTAAGGTATATACTTAGTGGTTACCTTTTCTGGGGTCACCTAGAAATTTTAGGAGTGTAAGGCTAGGATTTTTTGGGACTGTTTAGAGGGGATAGAGATGAGAGACATAAGTGGGTTACTACCTGGTATTTACTTTTGTTCCGTATTTTCTCTCTGGGATAATTTGCTAGTATAGTATTTGAAGCAGTGTTTCTTGCCTTAGATGTTTGAAGGGACATAAATTACACAAAAAGTGAAGTATTTTAAAAGACTAGTTAAGTATACTAAAACAAGACAGATATGCATATGGATTCTGAAGTAAAAGTAACTATATGTTTTATTCTTTTTGGAAGGTTGGAGATGATATGAATTCATTCTTGTTAGGCTGTTCACAGTTTGCATCTCAGCTAGAAGAAGCAGATAAGGAAGAACATAATGTATGTATTTTTTTGTACAAATTGTCAAGTGTAAAATATTAAAACTTGTATTGGTTGTTGAAACTTGAATGTGATATCCAGTTAGCAGCAGTAACCTAGATTCAGTGACTTAAGGAATTTTAAGTGGCATTGGAAAGCATTATTTGTTTTTCTTTATTTTATATGCCCAAATACAAAGATTATGCCACTGGCTCACCATTAATAAGACATGAACTTTGAGTTGATTTTTCAATAGTTGTATGAGTCTTAATGAAGATTGCTATCTTTAAGACTGCTACTGTGCTGGGAGAGAGGGCAGGGCAAAACTAAGTTAAAATGCCACACAGTTCTCCTATGGTGTTTAAGCTATACTTTTTGATGTGGCATTACCTAATTGCTTTATGTTTAATTATTTTTTCAGAGTTTTGACAAAATTGATTCTGAGAGTTTCTGCTCGTTTTTTCAGTATTTCTGTGGCGCATAGGTCCTTGAACTTCTCTAACTGCACAGTTTTTGCTGTCACCACTCCCTAAATATCCTAATAGGTTTAATTTTGGTGCAAATTTATAACTAATTCTGAATCTTATATAGCATTTCAGTGGTCCAGGAATAACCAAGTGATTTCTGAAGAAAAAGAACAAGGTGAAAGGACTTGCCCTGACAGATATCAAGATTTATTGTAAAGCTATATTAATTATTATTGTGTGCTTTTGGTGCAAGACTAGACAATAATGAAATTGAAAAATGACTCCAATATAGCCCTTTTCATATGCGGAAAATTTTGTTGATAACAGAGCCAACAGTGGTATTATTTATAAGGTAAAAAATAAAGTTGATTTGATATATGATGGTAGCATATACAAAAATCATTTTCTGGTGGATAAAGAACTAAATATAAGAGAAAAAACAATAAAAGTTTTAGAGGCAAATATAGAAGTTTATCTTTATCACCTACAATTATAAAACAAATACAAATCCTGAAAAGAAAGATTGATAAATTCAATTATATTAAAATTAACATCTATATTTTATAAAATTTTATTGAGAGAAGGACAAGAGAAATTTCGAATTAGGGTAAAATATTTGGATCATGTAAACCTGACAGAGGATTTTCTAGATTTTGTAGATAATGCCTACCTATCAATTAGTAAAAAGATAAACAAGTCACTATTCAATAAAAAGACATTTCACAGTGGTTTAAATAATTGTAGCACTCAAGCTACAGTTGGTGATTGAATTGATATATACTAATGTTTCCCATCAGGTTCTAACACAGGAAGGGAGGTTTTGAGGACCTTAGAATCTCTCTTGATAGTGAAAAAAATGATGTTATTCCAAGGTGGACATTGTGGACATCTTGGAATACTGTGTGCCTTAGTGGGCATTACTTTCTAAACACTTTTGTAGCTAAAAATATTTTTCTTTGCACACAGGATATGAATTTTCTTTGGTATATTTTCTGAAGAGCCTCACCTCTTTTTAATTAGATTTTTGCTTTCTTATTATTTATCTTAGTGATTCTCAAACTTTAGCACGCAAAGCGATCACTTGCAAGACTAGTTAAAACAAATTGCTGGCGCCAGTCCAAGAGTTTCTGATTTAGTAGGCTGGGGTAGGGCCCAAGAATTTGCATTACTAATGAGTATGCTTGTAGATGGTGTTGATGCTATTGCCATGGGACCTCACTTTTTGAACCACAGATCTAGAGTTAGTGCTACAGAAGAGAAATGTTAACTAGCCTAATTTTTGTTCAGTTGCAAGTAAGGTTTTTTCTGCCTGAATGTATGTAGTAACATTTTTCCTTTAATAATGTAATTCAAAACTTTTACCCAGATGTGATATGGTGAGCTATCTATTTTTGTGGCAAATGTAATCATTTTAACATTATATATTTAAGTGGTAAATATTGGACTGTGTACAGGTGCTCCTCACCTTTTGATGGGGTTATGGCTGATAAACCCATTGTAAGTTGAAAACATCAAGTTGAAAATGCATTTATTATACTTAATCTACCAAACATTATAGCTTAGTCTATCCTACCTTAAATGTGCTTAGAACACTTGCATTAGCCTAGAATTGGGCAATGTCATCTAACACAAAGCCTATTTTACAACAAAGTATTGAATTTGTCACATAATTTGTTGAATACTGTACTCAAAGTGAAAAACAGAAAGGTTGTATAGTTACTTGAAGTATGGTTTCTACTAAATGCATATCATTTTCACACTACTGTAAGATTGAAAAATTGTTAAGCTCAACTATGGTAAGTCAGGGACAATCTGTTACTGGTTTTTGTATGTTTATTCAATTTCTCTCACAATCTCCCAAGCCAGTTCTTTGCATTTTCCATTAAAAATATTAAGTGGAAATATAATATTTTGTATCTTGATTTTTTTGGGTCCTCTAGCAGGTACAGAGTTGTATTGAAGTGGTAGTGTGGGAAGATAATCCTTTTTGTTATTGTACTTGCTGTTATATGAAAAGAAATATAATGATCTTCTGAGAGGAATGTAAATTTTATTCCTTAACTGTATTAAGAAAATAGATGAAATGATTTATGTGAATTATGTGGAGCCTCCCAATATAGATGTCTTAAGAAGGGATTTTTTTTTTTTTTAATTCTAGGACTGGGAATTTTTTTTTTTGAGTTGGAGTGTCACTGTGTTGCCCAGGCTGCAGTGCGGAGTTGCACTCATGGCCACCCCAGCACTGACCTGCTAGGCTCTGGTGATCTTTCCGTCCTACCCTTCCAAGTAGCCGGAACTACAGGTGTGCGCTACCACGCCTGGCTAAATTTTAAAATTTATTGTAGAGTTAAGGTCTTGCCAAGTTTCCCGGGCTGGTCTCAAACTCGTGGGCTCAGGGAGTCCACTCACCTCGGCCTTCCAAATTGCTAGGATTATAGACTGAGCCACCAAGCCCGACCTTTTTTTTTTTAAAAAAAAATCAAGAACTAAGTTGTGCAAGATGAACTAAAAACAGTCTCTAAATATAAAACTATTATGATTTTGAACTATAGATTTATAAAGTTATATTTTTAACAATTAGTACATTTTTGTAATTGAAAACTAAAAAATATTTGAATTAAATATTTGTTTTTTATTTTTAAGTTTTTTGAGTTGGAGTCTCATTCTGTCACTCAAACTGGAGTGTAGTGGCACATTCAAGGCCACTCCAGCATTGACCTTCTGGGCTCAGGTGATCCTTCTGCCTTAGCCTTCCAAGTAGCCCGAACTATAGAGGTGTGCGCTACCATACCCCGCTTAATAGTTTGATTTATTGTAGAGATGAGGTCTTGCGAAGTTGCCCAGGCTGTTCTTGAACCTGTGAGCTCAGGCAGTTCCCTCACCTTGGCCCTCCCAAAGTGCTGGGATTATAGGCTTGAGCCACTGTGCCTGGCCTTTTAAAATTTTTTATTTTAAAGATGTGGGGCTACAATTTACAGTAGGTATACAAATATTCATTATGCAGGTAACCTTGTTGATGAGGTGTGCCCCCCTCCCCCAACAGATTCCCACTACTGCCAATCCTTATAGTATTAAATAATTTGAAGTAAATATTATATATCATATATTGTGAAGAATTCTGTTTTTAAATGTATTAATTAAAACTTCATTTTTCCAGATTTTGGAATCTCTTTTTAAGGTATGTTCAATATATTACAGCTTAAATCTACTAAAACTTTATATATAAATACATGTAAATGAAGAAGAGGTTTCTAAGTTTTGAAGAAGTAAAATAACTCTCAACTTGCTGCTATATATATTTTTACTTTTTTTTTGAGTTGGAGTCTCACTCTGTCACCCAAGACTGTAGTGCAGTGGCACGCTCCCGGCCATTGCAACCTCGACCTTCTGGGCTCCGTCGATCCTTCTGCCTCAGCCTTCCAAGTAACTGGAACTACAGGCGCACACTACCACACCTGGCTAATTTTTTGATTTATTGTAGAGATGCCCAGGCAGGTCTCGAACCTGTGGGCTCAGGTAATCCACTCACCTCAGCCTCCCAAAGTGCGAGATTACAGGCTGAGCCACCGAGCCCATCTATTTACACATTTTATGTAATATTTATGCATTTTATGTTCATTTGGGTGTTGAACTAGCCCCAGTTATTTTATTTTAATTTATTTTCTTTAATTTATAATTTAAAGATATGGGGTACAATTCAGGGTTAGGTATTATACAGGTACACTTGTTGATGAGGTGTACCCCCTCCCTCCCCTGACAGTTTCCCTCACCTGCCAATCCCACCCCCCTCCCCTGACAGCTTCCCACTTTTGCCAGTCCCTTTCTTTTCTTTTTTTTGAGTTGGAGTCTCACTCTGTCACCCAGGCTGGAGTGCTGTGGCACACTCACGGCCACTCCAGCTTTGACCTGGGCTCCGTCGATCCTTCTGCCTCAGCTTTCCAAGTAGCTGGAACTACAGGTGTGCACTACTGCACCTAATTTTTTTTAATCTATTGTAGAGATGAGGTCTTGCCAAGTTTCCCGGGCTGGTCTCAAACCCGCGGGCTCAGGCAATACACTTGCCTCGGCCTTCCAAAGTGCTGGGATTATAGGCTGAGCCACTGAGCCTGGCCTTGCCAATTTCTTTTTTATAGTATTATGCTAATTGTTCAAGGTCACCTTATGATTGAGAACATATGGTAATCAGTTCTTTGTTTCTGTAATAGATCACTGAGCATGATAGACTCTAAATCCATCCAAGTTACTGTGAAGTCCATATGTTTGTCCTCCTTTATGGCTGCATAATATTCCATAGTGTATGTGTACCACATTTTTTTTATCCAGTCCAGCTTCAATGGGCAGCATGTTTTTGCTATTGTGAATAGAGCACTGACCCCATTTTAAATCCTAAATAATGGTTGAGTCAGGACTGATATTTGATAGATGAAGATTCATAGACACAGATACATATGTATGTATACATTTATTTCTCTGAAAAAATTTAACTTGTCATTAACTATGTCTTTCTGGTTTCCTTTTTTTTTAAAAAGTGGTTTCAGCAGCAGGTTAATCAGTTGGAGGAGGTAAGTATAACATCTCTTAATTTTTAATTAAATTAATATTTTAACTTATTTGAAGACCAATTTGAAGTATGTATAAGTTAAAAGATTTTAAGTAACTGTTGGTTATTAGGCAATTTTTTGTTTTAGGTAGAGAAGGAATAAGTGGATGAAATAAAATTTTCTTAGTGATTTAGCACACTGTATTCCTGCATATATCTTTTAATACTCTGAGTTTGATACATTCTTTCTCTAAAATTGAATAATGGAACCTGAATTATTTTTTTCCAATTTACTTAAAAGAGTAAGTAACGAGAGAATTTATCAGGATAAAAATTTCTGCTATATTTTAAAAATCATGCAAAATGATATATGTGTAGATATAAAATTATATATTGATGTTTTATAAACTTAATATGTTATTTTAATGATGTTCTCTTATATTTTCAATTTTTAAGTATTTTACGATTAGATTGAGAACTACTGGTCTCTGTCCTTAGGGCCTTTTAATTCTACTTTGGAACTACTTTTTATACGCTGTTAATATATCAGAATGATTTCCAGGATAGATTTAGTGATTTGCAGAATAATTTTTTTTCTCCCTTGGTCACACTTATGGATCAGTCCAATTATATACTCTTGAAGCCTAGGCTATTTAAAGAAAATAGGCTTATTTATTTGGAATATAAAATTAAAGGATAAAGATAGAAACTGCAACTATAACCTCATATCTCCTTATTTTACCTCTGGCCTCAGAGTAGAAGACTTTCAAGGTCTGTACATTCCTTGCTTTAGGATAGGTGTGACACTGGAAAATATCAGTAGTTCTTATTTGACTGTGATGTAGTGGTCTTTATCCTCCCAGAGAGGTGGGGTTGGGGTAAAGTCCACTATTCCTCTACCGTCTTGTAAAATGTGTACTTCTCTGCAACTTGGGAAATTCAGCTTGTTTTCTACCTTCTTCTTTTCATTTATCAGCCTCTTTTTATTCTGTGTTTGTTTTTTCATGAATTTGCCTTCTCTCTTCTTTTTACACTCAGTCCTGTCAATGTACATGACCTATTTAAAATCCTGGCCTCTTAGTTCCTTGAATCCTCATCTCCAAATATCTAGTGTTCTTCTTTACTCTTCACTTCCACTTCTATTCCCATTCCGGGCCTTTCATTAACCAAATTGCCGTATTATAAAAGAAATCATTAATTCAGGCAACTTATTTTTAAACTAAAAATTTTTATCTTTTCCATTATTACTTTAAATATTGCTCTGGCCATACTTGAACTTCACCAAGACCTCCAGATCATTTATTCCTTTACCTTAGAGAATTTTTGCTAATCTTTCTGTTTTAGCTTAGAGACTATACACTTCATTACAAGTAAATTTCTTAACTTCCCAATCTCTGTTATACTGTATTTTCCTTTTTTCATTGCACTGGTCTAACAAAACTTAACCTTGTGTAAATATAATTATTCACTTTCTCTAGGCCTATAGCTTAGCTGTAAAACATTAGTGAAAAAAAATGACACAATAGGTCAGGCAGAAGTACTACTTTAAATACTGCCTGGAAATTCTATTGCATGTCTCAAATGATTTTCACCATATGGAGAGAATCACTATCTCAGACCCACTGCCTCTGTCCCATTTTCATCTTCACTTTTATCCAGTCGCTTGGAGCGCAGACCATTGGTTGGAACTCCTTAATTTCTTGCTAGCAACCGAAGTATTGATGTCTGTACTCATTTTCTTTTCCTTTTCACCTGTTAAAACAGAGATATTGTTTCTCCTCAGACATAAGACTAATTCTTTCACTTCTGAGTCCCATATCCTCTGGACTGCTCAAGAACTTTGATGAGTCATTCTCTTTTGTCTCTTTCAGTTTCAGAATATGCTTATCAAGCTTTCATTTGATGCCAAATTCCCTTCTAGTTACATGCTTATTTCTCTGCTTTCATTAAAGAATTTTTTAAAGTTATTTTGTATGCAAATTAATAATATTAGAGAAATAGTAATTATATTATTGTCAGAGAATAAAGGCAAAAAAGATTTATAAGTGAGTGGAGAGAAAAACACTGCAGTCTTTTTCCCGGTGTTATCCAACTGATAAACTGGCACCTAGTGAAGAGGTTAATCTGTGCATTCTTTCATTATAAGAGCCAACTAGGGGTATCAAGTAAAACAATTTGAGTTGTTTATGGATTTTTTTTTTTTAAATAAAACCTCGAGTTTAGCTGTGGAGCATCTATTACAGATTCAATGTATTTGTATATTAATTTACTGTATACTGTGTTCTTTCTTCCCAAACATTTCTCAACTTACCTAGACTGGATTCTGTCTCCATAACAAAAAACATTCTCTCCATATGGTTCCCAGTATTTTGTATGCTGTTAAACTCAACAGACATTTTTCTTTACCTCTGCCATAGTTAATATTATTGATTACTTCCTCATTTCTGAAACACTATTCCTTTGGTTCTGTGAATCATACTCTTCTAGCTCTTTTACCTCTTTGTCTCTGTTTTTAGAATTACTTCCTTTAATCAAGCACTAATTGTTGGAGTGCCTCAAGATTTTATCCTATGCCTTTCTTTTTCTTTCTTTACTCTAAGCTTTCTCTCTAGGCAATCTCATCCAGTTTTTCCATTCAAGTATTACTTTTGTTCTGGTAATTTAGAAACATATACCTCTGCTTAAAATGGTCCTCTGAACTTCAGGCTTGTATACAATTACCTGCTAGATTATTCCATTTCAAACCTAATGGGCCAGCAACAAGAATTTTTTACTCCTAAACTCATATCTGTCTAGTGTTCCCTATCTCTGAATGGTAGAACTGTTTATCAAATTGGGTAAACCAGTAATGTGGAAATCATCCTTGAAAACTTACTTCCATCTGTTCCTAATATTTAACCCATCCATGAGTTCTTTTGATTTTGCTTCCTAAGTAGCTGTCAAATGTGTTCATTTTTATGTGTCCACTTTTTTCTGTGTCTGTTGTTTACTACTGTCAACTTACCATCATATCCAGTATGACTGAAATCCCAATTTATGAATTTCTAATCCTCAGGAGGAATCCTTACTACACAACTGTACTTCTGATACGGAACTCTGAGTTTTTCAATGTTTAAACCCATAATTGCTTCTCTTGAATATTTTCTTCATTTGGTGCACGAGAGACATTGCCTAAGTGTTTGTATTATCTTCTGCCTTTCAAGGAGTGTTTCTTAAAGTGTAGTTGATGGAACATGATTAAATGTTACCCAATATATCTGTTATAAATGCACATTACTGAGTTAGAATTTGTATGTTTGTGTGTGTGTGTGGGGGGGGGGGTTAGGAATCTGCTGCTTTAACAGGCTCCCCTAGGATTTTTATGCATATTAACATTTGAGAATTTTTGAATAAGCTTCTTTTTACTGCTGACAGATTTTGTCAGTACATGTTGATAAAGTTAATGCCTGTGGTCATGTTGCATTAACAGAGATACATTTTGAAGCCATCAGAGTATATGGTGAGTTTTCACTAGAGAAATGTAGGATGAGCCTGTAGCCTGTACTCTTCAGAGTTGTCCTGCTGAAACCTGTGCTGCACAGGTCTCTTTGATGAAATCTTTTAGCTGATAATTTCACTTCTGTTCCATACTGTACCTTCGTCTCTTCTGTGCATGTGTTGTTACTGGACTCGTTGAAGTTTCTATATGTTAAAATAATAAGCAGAAGATTAGATTTTAATTTTTACCTGTAAAAGCCTTCACTGAGCTATTGATAGGTAATTGCTCCTATATTTGTAAAATATTATATAGGTATTTGACTATAGCTATAGACCGGAGTAATGCTATAAAAATTACTTAGATTTGATAAAGGAAATAATGAAATGTCTTTGAGATATGGGAGAAAAATGGGTATTTTTAAAGTAACTGGTAAGTTTTATTGTTTTAGATAAGTAAAGATCAAACTGTTTTAGAAGAAGAGCTTCCAGAACCTGAGAAAACAGTCACTTTAAGTATTGCACAAGTAGTAAAACTTGTGCACAAACTTGAAGAACTGAGAAATCGCCTTAAACAGGAGTCTCGCTGCTCCTTTAAAGCCTTGTCTAAACCCATGTAAGTAAAAATATAAGAACTAATTGAATTAAAAACAATAAGAGGGGGTATATAATTAGCACTGAATATAAGATAATGAGTCAGCTATTGTGGCAATACATAGTGCTTGTAAATTGAATCAGGTCCAATCAGCTTGTTTCTATTTGAAATTTTTAATAGTCTGAGAGGGCACTGTGCAATACAGTAGTCACTAGCTGCATATAGTTATTCAAATTCAATTCAATTTAAAAAGTGACTGTCTTAGTCACACTAATTACATTTCAGGTACTTAGTAGTAACGTGATTGTTATTAGAAAGTTATATTGAATATTGCTGGCTTTGAATTATCTGGTGTATGAATGTTTCTCTCAGTTTGATTAGGTAATTCCCACTAACGAATAGGAAATAAAGTTCAATTAAATATTTCATTGTTAATGAACATCTTCATTAGAAATTGTACTAACAACTCATCTTTAAAATAAAATAAAAATAAAAAAGAAATTGTGCTACCAACTTATACAAGTAAACATTTTACAGTTATGAGTAATCAATCATGTTTTTACATTAAATATACACAAAATTCTTTTATTTTGTAGTGTTAAAATAGAAAGCACATACCCACAATTGGGAGAGACTATTATATATCATGCGGTTACTTTATTGATAATATCTGTCAGTGAATTAAAATAATGAAGAGAGTGGTACTTGAGTTGGCTCCCATGGGAGTTGTATAACTAGATCCTTGGTTCTGAGGTTCAGGTATATTCATTTGAGCTGTTTATTATGTGGCATGAAATTAGTTTCAGACCATATATTAATATTAATGCTTGACATTTAAGTGTCTGCTGTCTGCTAGGTATTTTTCTCGTAACTATGTATATAATCTCCTTTGATCTTTATAACTACCTATTAGAAAGGTACTATTATACCCCAATTTTAATATGAAAAAACTAAAGTTCAGAGAAGTTAAATAATGAGCCTGAGGTCATATAATTAGTAAATGGGCGAAACAGGTTTTGGGCCAGGTAGTCTCATTCAAGAATTGTGATGTTCACCATTATACCATTGATAATAACACATTAGAAATAATAAAGCTCACATTTCTACCCAATTTATTTTTGCTATTTTTATTGTTCATGTTGTTAGTATACCTAATTATATCTGTGGAATACATAGAATTTATGGAATTACGTACTTTAATTTTTATACTTATTTGCTTGTCACTAGTTGCTTGCCTTACTGTCAGTGATTAAAGGTTAAATAATATGCTGTTTTTTATTTTACACACTTCATATGTTTAACTATACATTCCAGTTAAGTGTAATTTGAACGCTTATTCTTTGATATGTTAAAACATGTTTTATTTATTAAAACTTAACAGGGATAAAGAACAGCCACCAAAAAGAGTGAAAAGTTTTGAAATTGTAGAGCAGAAAATTGAAGGTAATAATATTTTATGTGTTTGGCCTTTATAAGGTTTCCTAAGTGTATTAACATTTTGAGATTTATAGTATTAAAAATTGCAATTATAAAGTTATACAGGCTAGGTGCAGTGGCACATGCTTGAATCTCAGCACCTCGGGAAGCTGAGACTGGAGGATTGCTTGAGGCCAGTAGTTCAAGATCAGCTGGGTGAAAAAGCCAAGTCATAGAGGGCTTGGATACTGGACTTTTTTTTCAAATATAATAGGGAATCATTAAAGATATTTTTTTGGAGAGGAGTGACATTGTTAGATTTACTTTTAGAGAGATTATTTTGGTCATATTATAGAGGCTAGATTTGGAGACTGGAAGTAGGAAAGGGAAGTTATACCTTAGATGTGTGGTAAGTACCTTTTTTAGAGTACTGGTAAAAGAGAAGAAAAGGGACAGGTTTGATAAATATTTACTTGATAGAATTGGTAAAACTTGATGATTGAATATGAAAGGAAGGGAGATTAGATGATAAGGGTACCATCAACTAATATGAGAAAATATAAGAGAAAAAACAAATTTTGATGAGAAAATGAGTTCATAATTAGCTGTCACATACATTCTTTCATTTGTTGCCTGGTTGGGAGGATCTGTGGTATTAGCAGCTACTATTTTTTCATAGAGGTTTCTTTCTCTTGAATGAATCACTAAAATAAAAACTATAAAATTTAAACTCCATTTTGTATATCTAGTTGCTATTTGAAATTCATAATGGCAAATATACTTTTCATTATTTCAGAATTCATAAAAACCCATTTAACCGATGGATTTATGGATGTTTCTGTAACAGGACCACGTAAGTTTCCACTCATTTAAGCATTATTGTGTTAATAAACTCTGTTATTATATATATTATAATAACTATTAGGATCACAACACAGATTCCTGGAGTTTGGAGCCCAAAATTGAGCTGGTTGTCAAGCAAGTATTGAAATTCCTAGTTAAGGCTTCATGTTACTAAAACTAGATTCATTTTCCAGGAGTGTCATGCTAGTACAGGAATGGAGGATTTTCAGTTGTGATTAAAGTTTCCTACTGAAATGTTGGCAGGCCTGTGAGGTGAAGCAGCGATAAAATTTAAATTGTTAATAGATTTTGTTACTTGAAGTTATATACACTAATGCTTTGACTGTAGCTGAGTACTTGTTAGTTCATGAATATAAAGAACTGCTAGAATACGTGTCAAATTTTTGATTACTTGTCAATAAAACGGAGAAATTGCCTTGCTCATGTCTTAGTACTGGAGAGAATTTTGAAACAATAGTGTAAGGTTTGCTATTGAATACAGTTTAGAAGTGGAAAATAAGATTTGGTTGGAACAAGTTGCTGGGAATTCTGCCCTCTTTCAGCCTCAGTTTTTTTTTTTTTTTTTTTTTTTTTACCAATATCATAATTTTATTACGATCAAATAAGATAAAGTATAGCTTCATTATACGGATAAATATAATTATTACTTTCTACCCAACTTTATATTCTTTTAAGTAAATAAAAATTAAAAAACCCATTAGTGTACTTTCATTGTAAAAGACATAAAAATGCAGAAAAATGGAAAGTTGTTTTTTTTTTTTTTAATGTATCACATTTTCTTTATTCACTTTTGATGGGCAGCACAATTGGTTCCATGTTTTTGCTATTGTGAATAATGCTGCCATAAACATGCACATGCAGTTATCTTTTTTATAGAATGATTTGAATTCCTCTGGGTATATACCCAGAAGGGAGATTTCTGGGTCATATGGAAGGTTGGTTTTCAGATTTTTTAGAAATCACCACACTGTTTTGCCACAGAGGTTGTATTAGTTTACATTCTAATCAACAGTGTAGAAGTGTTCCCTTTTCCCCACATCCTCTCCAACATCTCTTGTTTATATCACCAGGCAACAATATACTGCCTTCAAGAGACCCATCTCACTAGAAAGGACATACACAGACTCAAAGTAAGAGGATGGGAAACAAATTTTCAGGCGAATGGAG